CCCCCCCCCAGTACATTTCAAAGAAGTCTGCTCAACAATAGAAACACATCTCCTGTGAAGCTCAAAACTGCAGGGCTGTGTTATCTATGAGCTCTAACAAAGCAGTCCTTATGAAAGCCTTCCAAGACAGCTTCTTAAGTCTGAATGAGTTTTTCTGAACAAGCCAAGTCTGGAATTTCTATCTTTGGTCATTGATTTCAGCATCAAATTTTGTATTAAAACCTGGGAGAAAATTGTTGGAAGGGTTTTTTTTTATCCTCATACAAAGAAATCTACTAATTTAGCTCTAAGAATCTTTGGCCTGAGATAGAGGATGAAAAATACGATCATAAAAGGAATTTGTGTGAGAAAGATGATGGTGACTGGGAGAAGATCACAGTGCAAAACAGATTTCAAATTTTTAAAGGGGCAGGCGCGACAGCACAACCACCCACTGAGGTACCAGAGAACAGAGCAGCCAAAAGTTGATTTCATTGTCCCATTGCAGAAACACAGTTGATTTCTGTCCACTTCTATATCTTCAAGCAAACAAGAAGATAATATCCAGCTTCTCCTAGTTCATTCAAGTAAAAACCTTGTACATTTTAAACTTGTCTTTGGACTTTATGCTACAGTACTGAACAGACAACGGAATGTAGCACTTAGCATCATTAAAGCACTGTAGAAATATTAATTACTGTTACCCCTCATGCCCTTCTTTAGGGTAAGTAACCCCATGCACCATTAATAACTCACCAGTTACTGAACGGGCGGCACTGACCATCTCCCATAGTTCCAGAATAAACACTGCAGGGCAGTACTGATGCTATAGCATGATAAATATTTTCTTTTTATTAACAGCTGGTTTGGGGAGCAGGTATCATCATCCTCATTTTAACACAAGGAGACAAGATGCTGAGTGGGATCCTCCGCTGTATTTGACTGACACGAAATTACAGTAGTATGTGTCCATGGAGATGTGTGGCCAGCTGCAGAAAAAAATCATGAGTTCTAGCACTGGTCTCTAACTTTAGGATCTAATCTTTAAACATCTAGAGCCCAATCTTCAGAAGGACTGGTTCAGCTGGAATAGAGTAGTTGCCATTTTTGTTCTCCAAGGCAGATGTCTGTAGGAACTATCAACGTAACGTTACCAGCCTAAAAACCCCAAGGTCTCTCTCAGTGGTTAAAGGCTCCAGGGCAAACTGGTGATGGAACCAGGGTGGGTGGTGTGCCATAGACCCCAGATCATGTGCAGAATCCTGTCCTGTCAGAGCCCTGAGCTCTCCCCTGGGTGCTACCTACACATCAGCCACCTACCACAGGGGAAAGAAGAGAGATGGGAAGAGCAGTGAAGCCTGGCACTGACATGCACCACATCACACAGATGGAGTTCCAGAGGGTGGATTTACAGCTACATTGATTTAGAAGAGTCACAAGTAGTCAGAGTCCTGGTTTTGTTTCTTTCTCCTTAATTTCTGTTAGTATTATTTGTCATGCTTGCAATAAATCTCTTATAAAGTAACTTTAATTTTTCTCATACAGTTAAAATAAAAACCCAAACAAACCACAAAATGAAACCAAAAATGAACACCTTAAAAAAGTTCTTGCTAAAACGGTTCTCTGGAAACTCTGTGAGCATGACTAGTTGGTACAAAATAGCTGCCTTCTGGAAAACAAGGCAACTGTGCCCTACTGCTCCCTGCACTTCAGCACAGGTACAGCTCTACTCAGCAGAGTTAGCACGTCCTCATGTGCTGGCCAGGTCAGGGTCTACTTGATGCATGTGCTTAAGTACCCCCATGCAATGAAGAGCCAGGATACATGGTGCACTGGACACAGCCTTTGAAATAAAATAATCTTTGTAAGACTTCTGTATTTTAAACTCTAAAGTATTTCTAGAGCTTCTTTCTTGGTCAATTTGCTGCACCTACATGGCCAAAGGAAGGTGTGGCTGTAGCTCGTGCTCTCCTTACGCAGCTTTTACGTAAAGACCCCCAGATAAAGCCTGGGCCACTGCTACCAATCTGCATACAGGCTCCTGGACTGGCAGGCATTCTGGTTGTCAGGTTGTGCTAACACCTGCATATGGAATTTCTACCACTTTTGGTACCTTCACCAGGCACCAAAACTGTCACTGGCCATAAAATGCACACAGGGAAAAGGCACACCTCCCTTCTGCTCTGCAGGTATTACACCAGCCTCTGAAAGAACTTACTCTATGCTCCAACGGGGGAGTTAAACATGAGCTGCATAGTGTTGTTTCCCTCAACTTTACAGCTATGCACCTATGCAATGCTTTTATAAAATATTATCCTTCAAACCATTTAAACAAATTTAAACAAATTAAACTCTACAGAGAGATCTCCATTAGCCTTAGACAACATTTAAGGAACCGAAAAAGGTCAAATTTGTATTACAACACAAATGGTGATGACCTGTCCTTTTAGTGTATTCTGGGAAAGACAACTGCCTTCAGTTGCAGTTCTTTAACAGAGGGAAGATCTTGGCAGATTCATTAACACAGCAGTATTAATGGAAAAAAACAGGAGATACCTTCATTCCATTAGGCATTTTAGCAAAAACAGGCCAAGAGAAAGAGGGAGAAGACAAGGAAAGAAACCAGACTAGCAGAGGGTGCATCAGACATAAGTAAGACTACAAAACATGAAAAACCCAAGAATTTTAACATGCAAAGGAAATACTGGTACATTGCAATTATGGTTAAAAGGACTGTACAGTTCCTATATCTTTGTCCTTGAGGCTTTGTTAAAGTAAGACTGTCAACTGCAAGTTCATAAATAAAATGGAAATGACAGTAGTGCCATAAAAACATAAGTAGAAAAATAGTGCAAAGTCAAGGGCTGGACACTTTAATCTGTCACAAGTACCTGCAAGCACTACTGTTACTGCTCTTAAAGAAAGGACATACAGAAAACATTCTCTATTTATTATAAACAGCAGTTGCCTGCATTGCACTCTGTATTTAGAATGTACTGACTACCTTTCTGCTTCCCTTTGAAGCTGTGGATGGAGAATAAATATCCTTTCACACCCGTGAGCACTGCCTGCCCTCCAGTCACGACTGGTAGCAAAGTCAGACAGTATTTATAAAAGAAATAAATTAAAAAGTAAACCAGACAATATCATTTAAGGCCTTTGTCCCTGCTAGTCTGCTCAACAGACTACACTTTCTTAAAATCAGAGTAGCTACCATTTCTGTTACAGTAACCAGAGAGTGAAGTTAAACAAACAAACAAACAAAAAAAAGGTCACATTTACAGCTGCCAAGAAGGCAAAGT